CAAATTGTATGCCCTATATGACAAGTACGCAGATTACGCCGAAATTCTTGTATCACAAGGTCGCTTAACTACTGCCCTTAAATACTTGAATTTAATACCTGTAGAATACAAAACAGCTACACTCGATCAAAATAATTCTTTGGCCGTAATCAGAGAGAGATTGCACAACTCTGGTGTGGATGTAGGAAGCACTAAAGCACCTTCATTTCCATTTTCACAAGTACTTGTTGGTGAAGATGGCGAAATAAATCAAACTGTTGTTGGTAGTGATGCAACTTTTCCACCACAAGTCGACCCCAACGCCACACAGGCTGCTTACCAACAACCTGCTGCTCAACAAACATATTATAATCAGTACACCTATAACCAGCAACCTGTTGTTCCAAACGTGCCGTATCAACCTCAACAGCAAGCCCAGCAAGTCCAACAGATGGCTTACAACCAATATGTACCGCCCCCTTATAATCCACCTCTACAAAATCCCACAGGTTACCCCTATCAGCAAAACTTTACCGGATATAATCAACCATTTTCAGAAAGTAATAATAATTTAATCCCTCAACCTCCTATGCCTAATACACTTGTCCAAAACGAAAACGTACCGCCTGCAGAAGTTTTAGGTGCACAGAAAAATGTACAAAACTGGAATGATCCTCCAGTTGTACCTCCTCCACAAATGAACAGAAGGGTAGCACAAGTCCAAGTGAACAAGCCATCACCTATCGTATCCCCCTTTCCGACATCCACTTCTCCAGCGCAGCAAAAGGTACATCCTCCGGCGCAAAATTTTGCAGCTCCACCACAGCCGAACATACCTACAGGCTTGCCACCACTACAGGCAAATCCTGCAGCTCCTACAACAGCAGCGTATCAGCCCATTCAGTCGATGCAACCACAAGCAGGTGTAACGTCATCTTTATATCCACCACCACCTCCTAATCCAAATGTTCCGCAGCAACCACCAACACAGCGACCTTCGCAACCTACTCAGTCATATTATGCTCCTAATCAACCGACATCAACGCCCAATAGAATACCTACTCCATCAAAAAC